TATTTTATACGTTTGATACACACATCCCATCAAACATATCACGTATGATATTATTTTGTAAATTATTATCAATTTTATATTCATTTTCACTCAATTTTACAAATTTTTATGAATTCTATTTATATAATTTGTTATCTTCAAAATAATCTTGTGTAAAAATATTTAATAAACAGTTTAACTAGTATTGACAAGTAATAAATAAAGTAGTACAAACTTTAGTGACAAGTTTACATAATTTTGACTCAAATGTTATAAGTTTTAGCTAGATAATTAAACTTTTATATTTCTATTCAATTAAATTTTAGCATTTCAATAAATAAAATATATTATAGTTTTAATTATCTATTGTATGATAACTATTAAAAATATTAATTATTTTGCAATAGTCTAGACCAGAAGAGTAGATTGATAGAATAGGGGGAATTTTATAATGACGTGGTTATTGATTTACCAAGATAATTTTTTAACTATTATTCACAATAAATGTTACTATTTTTACATTAATCACCTTCCCATTAATCCTAGTTTGTAGTTTTTAATATTTACCCTATTTGTATATTAATGTACATTATATATGAATAATATATTAATAGTACATAAATTACAAAGCAGTGGTTCAATGCTAGATACCTACAGATACCTAGAATTTGCTCTGTAGGTCTAGACCGTTGACATTCAAATTATCAATAAAATTGTGAAATATTGTTTTTGCTATAACCAAATATCATCATGTTTTAATTATAATAATTTTAAAATTTTTTAAGCATAATGATTTAAATATATTAGAACAATGGTATTTAAATTATCGTTACAACATAGTAAAGGTTATTTTGTTTATAATAAAATATCATATAATAGTATCAAAAAATATTATATTTTTAATAAATATAATTATTTTAAAAGTAACTTATATTAATATAATAATATTTTATGATTTTATACAAATATCACATGACTTAACTAAACTAAAATATCGATTTTAATAAAATTTATTTTAATTTATCTCATATTTTATTAATGTGAGATACAGTATATTGTAGTTATTAATAGACAACATAAGTTAGTCAGTATATTTTATTATATTAAAAACGTATGCACTAAATGTTCTTTAGTAATCTAATCATTTAATTAATAGCTTCACGGATTAGTAAAACAATTATCTTAATTATATTAATCGGAGAACATTCAGTTCACGTTATAATAATAACAAACAATTTTATTAAAAATAAATATTGATTTCTATGTAGACTTGCATTTGCAATAGCATTGCAAATGTTAAACCCATGTAATAGACTTAAGTTTTTACTTTATAAAAACCAATTATTAAGTTTTATCCATAAACTACTGTCTCTTTACTGTTTTTTGTGGGAATTGTAAATTATTATTATTACCATATATTTTTAAGAATTAAAAATTATATTTAATTTTAACTTATATCATATATTAATCATAATTATATTTTTATATAACAAATTAAAATGTTTGTAAATCTAGACAATGATATCTTTCTTTATCATATCGTTATTATTAAAGTTATTAAATATATCACACATTCAACGAATGATATATCTATAAAACAATTACATTGAGTGTATAAAAGTAATAGTAGCGTGATCACATTGTTTAACATTAACACATTATCATTATATATTAAGTCTAAATAACTAATTAGATAATTAACTATAATAATATTAGTTTAAGACAAATTGTATATTTTGATACATTTTGCTAAATATTAAGTAACTTACATTATTTAGTAAACATCTTATTAATAATATATGACACCATCTTGATAGAACAATTGGCAATGCTTACATAAGTGAATGATCACTATATAAAACTTTTATTGCATTTCAACTTAATAAATATTTTACTTATTTATATTTATTCATTTAACACGGCAACTAAAAATGGGTTACAAATATATAGCAAAAGCGTTAGTAAGACGCAAAACGATCGATGACAAAATTGTGGACCAAAGTCAATTGAAACGGTGTTTATCGTTTTTTGATCTCACATGCCTAGGTAAGATTTTATTATTCTTTTTTAAAAATATATTTATTAATTCAATTTGTGTATAAACTAAATACAATTGACAATTAAAATGTAAATTAATAAAATTATATTTTAAGGCATTGGTTCAACACTTGGGTTGGGTGTCTATATGCTGGCCGGACAGGTGGCCGGCAAAACTGCCGGACCTTCAGTATGCCTCTCATTTGCAATTGGTAATTACTAAAAAGTTACTTAATAATTTAGTTAAAAATTTATTTACCTTACATTGTTATTTATTTTTATTGGCAATTACAGCTGCCGCAGCATCCCTATTTGCGGGTATATAAAGATTTGACTATTTATATTATTTGTTCTGCATCAAATTATTTTACATTAATTTAATTACTAGGTTTATGTTACGCGGAGTTGGGCTCCCGTGTGCCCAGAGCCGGCTCAGCCTACCTGTACTCGTACGTTACTGTAGGCGAGTTTATGGCATTTGTGATTGGCTGGAATCTTGTTCTAGAGTATATAATAGGTAAAAGTATTTATTGATATGCATGGTAAATTAATTTTTTAAATTACTTACCATGGTGTCCAAAGGATCGGCATCTATTGCACGTGGTTATACTGTATATATTGACGCGTTGTGTGATAACAAAATATCCAAATATTTTACTAGTGTTGTGCCCATAAATGTCAACGGATTTGCCCCGTTTCCCGACCCGATATCATTTACGTTAACACTCGGACTTTCAGGTAAATTAAAACAAACATAGTAATAGTTTTAACATGATACTTTTTATATATAATATGTGAACACGTTATTACTTGATCGATACCTTACTTGCTAAATTAAATAGTTGTTAATTATAATAATTATAAACACAGTTTTGTTGGCATTGGGAGTAAAAGAGTCTATAAGATTGCACACATTAATGACCATAGTGAACTTATCGGTAGTGGTGTTTGTTATTATTGCTGGCTGTTTTAAGGCAAACATTGACAATTGGAAAATTAACAAAGACGATATACCGGTACAATATACGTGGGCAGGTAATGGGGGCTTTTTTCCTAATGGTTTCTCAGGTATATATTTTACGTTATAATTTAAAACATGATTTAATTTTGAGTGATGTACTTGGTATATTAGGTATGATTGCCGGTGCTGCCACGTGTTTCTATGGTAATTACATTTATAAATTTTAAAATAAATATTCTAACATATTAATTTAAGTTAAACTAATACTAAACTGTAATCTATTTTTAATAAATAGCATTCGTGGGTTTTGACGCTATTGCCACTACAGGTTTGTTGTACATTAAATACATACAATTATCATTATTGAACTAGCAAGCAAAATGTAATAAACTTAATTATTATTTGTATAAAATTTATATTAATAGGAGAGGAGGCAAAAAATCCCAAACGNATCTATTTTTAATAAATAGCATTCGTGGGTTTTGACGCTATTGCCACTACAGGTTTGTTGTACATTAAATACATACAATTATCATTATTGAACTAGCAAGCAAAATGTAATAAACTTAATTATTATTTGTATAAAATTTATATTAATAGGAGAGGAGGCAAAAAATCCCAAACGAAACATACCGTTAAGCATATGCTTATCGCTGTTAATCATAACACTTGTATACTTTGCCATAAGTGCCGTACAGACCCTAATGTATCCCTATTACCTGCAACACCCGGACATAACCAACGGGGCGGCGCTGCCCTACGTATTTGACAAAGTGGGCTGGACGTGGGCCATGTGGGTCGTTTCAGTGGGTGCCATTATGGGCCTGTCGACCAATTTGTTGGGCACACTGTATCCCTTACCGCGTGTTCTGTACGCTATGGGTACAGACGGTGTGATATTCCGGTTTATGGCAACAGTTAATGGGCGGTTCAAAACACCCGTTTACGCCACACTTATTGCCGGTTTGTTTGCCGCCACTATGGCCGCTATTTTTGATGTAGATCAATTGCAGGATATGATGTCCATTGGTGAATAAACATCTAGTTTTTTAGATTATACACGGTATTTAATTTAATTGTCATATTGTTTGTTAGGCACATTACTAGCGTATACTTTGGTTGCAATATCTATATTGGTTATTAGGTATGTGATATATATGATACAATTACCTTTATCTTAAATGTTGTTATTTAATTTTTTTATGATCAAGATAATTTGTAAAAATAAATTTGTTTTTATATGACAGATACTCAAACAGATTTAATGAAGTTAACGAATCAAATGGTATCGATAATAATACGACAGTTTGGCGACTGGTTTTAAATCGTGATCATTTGACTAGACCTACAAAATTTACGTCAAAAATTGCTAATTCATTGATCGCTACAATCAGTTTAGTATAGTTTAAAATTATATTTATTTTCGTTTAATTAATAAAATAATATATTACTTCTATAACTCTGAATTTAATTACAAAAATCTAGGTATTTTGCTAATTATATTTGACGCACAACTTGTATTTGTGCAAGATGATATATTTAGCGGAAGTGTGGCACCAATCATAACAACATGTATTACATTAACTCTGATAATAGTTACTGTGTATTGTCTATTAAGGCAACCAATGATACAAAAGTCGCAAAATTTTGAGGTTGGTAAAATATTAATAATTAAAACTATATAAGCATGTATGACTAAAATTATAAATTATAAATTGCATGTATGTAAATAGGTTCCTGGTGTACCGTTTGTCCCACTGTTAAGCGTATTTGTAAATATTTATTTAATGTTTAATTTATCAGTGGAGACATGGATCAGATTTGCAGTCTGGATGGTTGTTGGTAATTAATTTGATTATGATAAACTCCATTTGTTTTAATATTAATTTATTTGTATTATATCAAGGTCTTTTAATATACGGTTTGTATGGAATTCGTAAAAGTAATGAACGCCAGAAACTCTCGGACAGTAAAATGAGCATGGTTGATTAAAAAATTTAATTATTTAGTTATTTTTGTGTAAAGTCACGTTTTACAAATTAGTTTAATTTAATTATTTCAATAGAGTAAAATTACATTAAATTTATTAATAATTGAATTTAAATAATTTAAATATATTTTTGTTATACAAAATTAAGATTTATAAATAAAATGTGTTTTTATTTGTTATATTATTCAACTGTTGATTATATATTTAATGATAATATTGGTCTTCATAAATCATTTTTAAAAATATTTATTATAAAATTAAAACAAAATGTTTATAATTCAACTACATAATTTATTGCATAACACAATTATAAATTACATAATATACATTACATTAAAGCGAGCAATATATCATTGCATTAATTTATTATTAATAAGTAAATCTGGAGTTATTTGTTCAAGATCGTTTAGCACTTTGTTAAATAATTCTGTTAATAAAAACGTCGTAATGTCTAAGAGATTTGCATTTATCTGACTAATGGCGCCAGGGATCAGAATTTTTGCATATTTATTTAACGGACCTAAGCCGGTATATTTAATGTCCATTGAACCTGTTCTAACAAATTTGACACTTTTTAGTTTTGGATTACCAAGCGCATCTGCTTCAATACTAATTGCAACAGCCATGTTGGTAATAATCCCATCCATCCTTGCATTCACTGTTGGAACTTTGCCATATTTAACAGTGGTCAGAAAATGGACCTGAACGCCATTGGATGCACCAAGCTCAATTTGAGTTGTAAATTCATCCCCTGCCGGACCAAATACGCTGGGTGTAGCACGTGATATTTGTTGCAAACCAGTGGCTTTTCCATCGTGATATTTTGCTGTGCCTAGATATTGTTTTATTTGTGTAGAAAAAAATGTGTTAATGAAATGTTACCATAGAATAATTAATCCAATATATACCATGATCAATTTCTATTTATTTTTCTGATTCACATTTTACGTATGAAAGATATTCAAAAGCTGAGACTTAACAACATACATGTAATATGTATCTTGTAAATATATAAATGTATCTATGTATTGAGTTACCTTTAACTTTAACGAAAAGTGCTTTATCTTTGAAATCAGTGGTAAAATCAGGCAATCCAACCGGGGACAATTGAGCAGCGTACTTGGTGGTGATTTCATTTATAACATAATCGATTAACTCATCAGGAGTTTGCTCGTCTACTGTATGATGGTAAAATATGGACAAAATAATTATTTAAACAAATATACTGTATGTAAAAACAATTACCTGCTGAGCAGTGACTTATTGTAATAAACGCAGCAATTATAAATACTTTAAACATTATAAAACTAGCTTATTAAATATATAAAATAGTATGATGTAATTTTTAATTTATAAATAATGATGATGACTCGATATTTATACTTTTTAAAACCAAAAAACCACATAAATGAATGATTATTAAATTATTTTAAGAACATCATAAAGATATTTCAAATGAGCCACTATAATAAAAATAGTTTTTATCTTAATCGAAAATTTTGTAGATGATTGTGTATTCGTTAACTATTTTTATAATAATTTTAATATAGGTATAAAGAGATATAAAATTTATTTTAAAATATTGGAATATTTTGCGATATATATTTAATAATTTAATATTTGTATGATTTACTAATACAGTAGTATTATGCTAGATTAATTATAAACATTTATTTTGTGTTTTCAATTGTTGTCTAGACACTATAAAAATTTCATAAAATTAATCACACATTTAATATGTGCCTTATCTATAAACCTATTATATTAGTTGTAATAATGCGTTTGCAACTTACCATTATTGGTTTATTGGTATGTTATTTAATAATACCAACTTTTAATTTTATAACAATGTAATTTATAACAACATTTTATAACCCTATATATAATAATTAATTAGTGTACTTATTGTGCTTCAATTTGCAAATATGTTACAAATATTTAAACAAATATTTTTCCAAGTTTTAGATTTTCCATGTAAATTTTTGATATCTAATGATACTAAAATAATGATATCTAAAATATAGAATTTTATAATTTATTGTGAATATTTAAATATAATAGCTTAAAATATAAATGACAACTCAAAAGATGTTACTCACAGAAAATTACAAAGATTTATTTTAAATCACACAATGTGTTAAAATGTTGTATTTATGATACCATAAAAAATTGTTTGCCATAATGTATCTTTTACCAGATTATATAAATAACGTTATTAACTTTATTTTTATTATGGTCGGATTACATCAAAAGTAATTATAAAATACTTAAGTATTTTAAAAAGTATAAATACTGAACTATCACCATTATTTATATTATATTATTTAATAGAAATATTAAAATGTTAAAACTATTGACAATTGGAGTTTTAATTACAGTTATCCAATGTTTACCTGGTAAGTAACGCAGTACATTATATCAAAATATCATTTGTATAATTTATGTTCATACTAGTTATAGATGATACGGTATATCAGGAGACCCCCGATGAGTTTATCGACCATGTTCTGGACGATATTAGTACTACATACGCTGATAAATTGTACACAGTGGTTTTAGATAATTTTGAACATTCATTCAAAGCTAAGACTGTTATGTCTACTAATAAAGGTAACCAAATGTACATGATTATAATTTATATGTTGTTAATTGTAGTATGCATCTAGGCTGGCCAACTCAAAAATTTGCAATAGTGGACAATTGCTATATTTTGCTCAAAAATATGATAAAAATAGTGGACATATAGTGGACATATTTTTGGCTCTAATTT